CAGAGGTCTGTACCCCTGCAGACCCTGCAGCGGGAAGAAACTGAATTGCATGTTAATTTAAGTCCACACAATGACCTCAAAACTGTCTTACCTGTATCACTGCAAAAAATCTCTGCTTCTGATCATGCTAAAAGTATGCTAAACACCCATTTTCACAGCTAAATTTTTTTTCCTACAGCCTCACTTCCTTCCCCTCAATAACATAATTGTTCTTTGAGCTCAGTACCATGAACCAAACATTGATACAGATTAACATGAACAGCAGATGATGTGAAACAGAAAATCCAGCTAGACTCATTCAGCATAAACAAATATTTTGAGGTGCATTGCTCAGGCAGTGATTAGTTTGCCAGCTGTAAGTAGAGCTACAGAGGAAATGAAAAGGATGGAGTTTGCTGAAAGCAGTGGTGGGAAAAATATGACATCAAGACACATTAATTCATAATGCAGCAGGGTAGGAGTGGAGTTTAGACTGGGATCTGCTGGATTTTAAGATTCTTGCCTCTTTGTGAGTAGTCAGCCCATCTGTGAGATGCTTTTTACGCCCTTAAGACAGCAATGGAGTGGAAACTTTTTTTCTTTTAAATAGTCAGGAGGATGGGGGAAAGCGCTGAATTAAAACCAAGCTCTCATGAGAGGAAAATACTGTATGTACCTTTACAAAATCCTTCAGGATACAGCTGCAGATATTGAAGACAAATGGTTGCATAAAGATGCCAATAAAGATAATAATGGAAACAAGCTATGCCTAGAGTTCACTTTAGCTTTTGGTTCTGATAGCAACAAAGATAACAGCATAATGGGGCTTATTAATGCAGCAGGAGGCAGAACTGTGCAACAGCTACAGGGATAAAGAGTTATTTAAAACCTCTACGTAGTGTGTACAAAAGTCTGAGGTGGCAAATGGCTGCTAAGATTGAGAAAGCAAGAACTGTACATGCTAAATAATGGAAGTACATGATGGCCTCGCTACCTTCACTTGCAGACAATATGAGTGGCATCTTAGAGCCCTCACCAAAATCAGATATCTCAGTGAGCAGTATTAGATGGAAAACAATGCTTGGCAGAAATACAGTTCTTTTTGCCAAGGAACACCAAATAGGCTTCAAACTCTGCTGTCAGTGCTGGAATAGTAGCCAGGACAACTTAGTAGGTTTAGCATAGGGTTTCAACTGAAAAAGCAACCTCTAACAGAAAGCAGCCCAGTAATTTCAGCACTCAACAGTGCTAGCTAAATAGGAAGTTACTCTTCCTATTTTAGATAATGCCATGAGCTTCCATATCTGATGATACGGAAGATGTCTGCTTATGGTAAGAGCTTTTGGTGGCCTGGAGATTTTCCTAGTCCCTCGAAATGAAGAAAAGATCTGAGAGAAAGAAGTCTAAACACTTCTATTGTGCCACTTCCTCTGATTTTGAAGAAACCTGGGGACACAAACAATGTGCAAAGGAATAGAAAGAATATATTTTGAGCCAGAAGTTCCAGAGAGGGGAATGAGAAGAATGAAGGATGGAACAGGTGCAAAAATTGAAACTTGGTTCAGTTCTGTCAAACTCGTCACACGTTTCTTGGGTGCCAATGTGGGCATCTTGGGTGCCAATTGTGAGCCCTGAGCATTCAGCCCCTGCTTTGCAAAACAAGCCTATTCTGTGTACAGCAAAAACCAGTGGTCACTAAGGTCTGTTGAGAGCAAGGTGTAAGCATGGGAGGCACACATACCATTGATACTTAAAGGTCAGGGCTGAAAGCATGGCTGGCAGCCTACATTGATTAGATTTAAACTGTCAACCACATGGCATATGAATATCATGGGAATATGTGACATCCCAATGGGAAACCAACTACTGCCTTCCCTAGGATGGCTTAGAAATGGCCCTGAAGCCGTTCATGGCCTCTCCTCTACTGATATATCAGATGCTACTGAGAACCTTTCTCACATCTGCTTTTGAAACTTCAGCCTGCTCCTTTTGAACTTGCCATGGGAGCTCTCTTAGATTTTTTACCACACATATGTAAAAATCCCCACAGCCACACTGTTCTCCTCCTCAGAAAACCTACCTGTGCTGGGGGTTCTCTGGCACATAGGGCAGTGCTGCTGCAACAGAAGGGCTGTACCTCTGCTCCCAATGGTCACTAGGACTCTGGGTTCTCCTGCTGTCCATTGTCTCTCAGATGCTAAAGCTGTTGCAGCAGGAGCAGCCTCAGTTACACATCCATAGTACAGTGGGGCCTCTGACTGGAGGCAGCAGTGTATTACCTCTAAATAGAAAAATACCACTAAGAGAACAAAGACTTTCAGCTGAGATTAACATTTTATTGGATTGGCGGTAGGTATCAAAGGGCTTTATGGCTCTTTTGGAGGCACTTTCAGTCCAGTTGGATTAAAATCAGCACAGCTGTTCCCCAACTGGTTTTAAAAACGCTTCCAGCCATCGCCACTTCCTGCTGTCACCGTCCCTCCTCTGGAAGCTGCACCACCCCGTTCCACTCAGCTCAGAGCCTTTGCCCTTCCTTTTTTCCCCATCTGCCTCTTAACTGAGTGCCTGGTTCAGGCCGAGCAGCTTCCATCCACATCCTCCCTGCGCTCCCCTGCAGCTCCCTTCAGCACAGAACTGGAAAGCAGAGAGCCGGGCTTGGGGTTACCAGGACACAACATGAAGTTGCACCAAATGATGCTGTGAGCGTTGGACGTGTTGGGCTCCTCTTGCTCTTCTGTCCCCTTGATGTTGGGCTCGCAGCAAGCTGATGCCTCACCTGCCTTGGGACTGCTCAGCAGGGCAGCAGGTCAGGTGCTGCTTTGTGGAGGTGAGCTGGTAAGGACTGTACAATGAGGGGAGTTGAGAAGCAGGCACAGAAGCAGGGCTCAGTGTTCATCCAAGCATCTGTGATCACTCTCTGACATGCTGCATCCAATGAGACTTGCTGTAGTCTAGCGTGGATTTTGCTCCATCTCCAGGAGGCAGATGCCATCTGCAGGAGCCACTCAAACCAGCCTCCTGGAGGCTACAATAGCTGTGGAGGGAAGATTTAATTCTAGCTGCCAAAGAGGCATCAGAGAGGACACAGCCTGCATCCCTGCCTGCATCTGAGAAGGAAGCACAGCCCTTGTTGGTGGCACCAGCTGCAGTGGTGGGGGACCTGAGAGACAAACTGGTTGGCCAGGTACCACTCCAGTTTTAGGGTGCAGACTGAAGGTCTCTCCTGGTAGAGCTTTTCAGCATTTAGATGGGAAGACTGGAATCCTCCATTGGACTCCCACCTCTACATGCCTCTTGGGTTCTCCTAAATTCACAAGTCTGGGGGACTCTTACATAGTCCCAGCTTGAGGAGCATTTGCTAAAACAATGATATAGTGTTCTCATCTCACCGGTCTCATTAGGTTAATGAGTTGGATTTTATCTTGCTAAAAACCTTGTTCAGTGGGGAAAAAAAAAAAAAAAAAAAAAGTCTTCAGCACACCTTAAGCATCCTCCTCTGTCCTTTGGGTTACAGTGCAGTTAATCAAATACTAAGACTGAGCAAAAAACAGAACTTGCTGTGAGCCAGGCCCCAACTCATCAGGAAACAAAATGCATGAAGTGGCTCATCCTGTTGTGAAGGTATTGGTGGATGACTAAAGACTGTTAGGTGGGCATAAGCTGCCTTCATACTAGATGCAATCTGCCTGTAATGCCCAGGTGCACTAGGGAATAACAGTGCCTGGTGCAGAAGTGTGCAACTGTGCAATCATTCTTGCCCACTTCTTCACTAAAGAGACCAGGTTCCTCTGTTGTGGATGCACAACATGTTTCCTGCTGCTGCCCTCTCCAGAGGCACGGAGCTGTGGCACTGCAGCATGGATGTGCCCAGCAGTGGCACCCAGCACTCAGCCCTCCTGGCTTTTTCCCTCCAGATGTGAGAAACGCAGAGAGCGGTACGTGCCAAATTAAGAGAACTCCTGCAGTGAGTGAGGAGGGCACACAGTGTGGCTCTCCAACACAGGTGTGAGCAGATGGCAGGTAAGCCCTCCCTTCCTAAGAGGGAAAATACTCGTTCCTGAGGTTTAGGGGTGAAAGCACTGCCAGCAATGTCCAGGCTTGCAGAAATCCTGAGGTAGGAAAGCTGAACTGTGCCTCCCTCCACATCTTCCTGCAGCCTTCAGGAAAGAAGGCAACAGACGCCATCCATTTAAAACAAGCATGTCAGTAACAACTATAGCCTGAATCAAAACAGATGTCATCCCTGCGGCTGCTAAGCCTGATATTGCACAGACTGCCATGAGCTCTGGACAGTGTAGCTTGAGGTTCCCCAGTTGTTGTACTTCCGGCAGTGAAGACCTCACACTCAGGACTCAGTTGATCTGCACAAAATGCCCTTCTTCTTCCCGTTATCTCTGGGAACAGACTTTGTGTATGCGAAGACCTCACTGAGCAACTAGGAAAAGTGCTTGTTTGCAACCTGAAAATCGAGTGATTTTGCATTGTAGAGGTTTGCCATCTTATTATTATATGGTCTGCTTCGAATTAAGCATGTTTACTCTGCCGGACACCTTTGGTGTATAAACTAACCACGATGAGGCCACGCTCCCAAACACCATCTGGGCTATAAAACAATCTGAGCCCCAGAACTGAGTTCTGAAGTGCCTGAACCTCTCCTTACGAGAGGTCAGCCTGAACTCCAGAGCCACCTGCAGCTACCCGTAAGGCAGCATTAGCGCCTGATCCACCGGGCGCCCGCTGGCTGTCAGGGAGGGGCTGCGGGGCCGCCAGCGCTGTGCGAACGGCAGCTCTCGTCCAGGATTAAAACGAACTTCATTTCCGGAGTGCCGACATTTTAGAGCAACAGGGACAACTGCAGTCGCCATCGCTGAACGAAGCACAAACGGCAGTCTGAGATCATTAATATCCCAGCGTTAATTCTCAGCGCATCCGTCACGCGCTGACGAACTCCACCGCCCGCCTCCCGCCGCAGCCCCGCCCCGCGGCCGACGTCATTAAACCCGCAGCTCTCGCGAGAGCGGGCTGCCTCCGTGCCCTCACTTGCCCGCTTCCGCCCGTCGCGCGAGATCTCGCGACACCTCGCGTTCCTCGCGCAGCCGCACGACGGCGAATCTCGCGAGCGGCGAGGAGGCAGGTGGGAGCCGGGCGGGGGCGGTGTAATCTCGCGAGAGCTGAGCCGCCCCGCCCGGGCCCCGCTCCCCCCGGCGCCCCGCTCCCCTCCCCGCAGAGCTAATATGGTCGCCGGCGATGGACGCTCTCAGGCCAGGTCAGTGCGAGCGGGCCGGCCGCCGCCCGCGGGCCTCCCGCTCTCCCGAGGGCCGCGCCGCTCCCCCGGCGGGACCCCCGCGTCTCGCCTCGGCCCTTCGTCCGGCCGGCGGTGCGGCGGTCCCGGCCCGGCTGGAGCGCGGCCCCCGCTGAGGGGAGGAGGGGCGCGCGGCTCTCGGCTGGGATGGGGGGCGGCTGTGCGCCGCGCTGCCGCGGGACCCCCGGCGCCGCCCCGCACGAACCGCTTTGTTCGCCGCTGCTCGGCGCTGGCCTCCCGCCGCCCCGCTCGCCCTCCGTTATCCCTGCCCGCCGCCGTCCCTTCCCCGTTCTCAGGTGCCGCGTCGTTTGGCTGCCCGCGGCGCAGCCTTTGTCAGCTGTTGTTGTGGCCGCGGCGCGGTGCGGCCGGGCGGCAGACAAAGGGCGGTGTTGCGGAGCGCTGCGCTGTGCCGCTCTCGCGGTGCGGCCCCGCCATGGCGCAGCCGGGTCCATTTTCTCCCCGCTCTTTGTGATCCGGCTTTGAATTCCGTTAAGCTTCGAGGAAATTCCTCACGTTCGATGAGCTGTCATTGGTGCTGCCCGTTTAGTTTGTTAGCGATTGAATTAAAGCGTTTGTTTTGCGAGCCGGCGGTCTTCTTGAAGAGGCATTTTTTGCTTAATATGTTGGGTCTGTTCTCGTCTGCCGCTTGTTGTCAGCCTGGCACGTCGTGATTTGTGCTTTGTAACGTGTCTATCCCTTATCTGAGTCATTAAGTCCGTTCTGTAGATGGTCACCGAAGACAATAAAGGTCAAACGTGTGTTAAGGCTTCTGACTATGCTGGTGATTTGCATGACCTGTGCATACCTGGTAATATTAACGTTCATCTTAATCACGCAGCTATCTCATCAAGCATCTTAATCCGTTTAAAATATCTCCATATGTAATTTACATAAAACCCCCAGAGGAGTATTATTTTTGGTAAAATCAGAAATGAAAACTTGGTGTTAAGAGCCTTCTATCATTGACCAGGCCTTCTGTGGTTGACACGCCCAAGGGCTGGGATGCCATCCAGAGAGACCTGGGCAGGCTGAGCTGTGGCTGGGAGAACCTCATGAGGTTCAACAAAGCCAAGTGCAGGGTGTGCACCTGGGTACCAGTACAAGCTGGGGGATGTAAGGGTAGAACACAGGTATGCTGGCAGTGTGCCCTTGCAGCCCAGAAAACCAACCATATCCTGGGTGCATCTGAAGCTGTGTGGCCAGCAGAGTGAGGGGAGGATCTGCCCCTCTGCACTGTGCTATGAGGTGTCACCTGGAGTGCTGCATCCAGATGTGGGGTCCTGAGCACGAGAGAGATGTGGACCTCTAGGAGTGCATCCAGAGGAGGGTCACTAAAATGACCTGAGTGATGGAACACCTTCAGGCTGAGAGCTGATGCTGTGCAGCCCAGGGGCTGTGAGGTGACCTGAGAGTGGTCTGTCAGTATCTAAAGAGGCTGTAAGAAAGAAGGGGACAGGCTCTTTAGCAGGATCTGTTGTGGTAGCACAAGGGGAAATGGTTTCTGAACTGAAAGAGGGGCTTTCTAGTTCGGATGTAAGGAAGAAGTTTTTTATGCTAAGGTTAGCAAGGCTCTGGCTCTCTGGTTGTCCTGTTATGTAATGGATGTCCCATTCCTGGAGGCGTTCAGAGTCAGGCTGGGGGAGCTCTGAACACCTGATGGAGCTGTGGGTGTCCCTGTCCATTGCAGGGGAGTTGGACCAGGTAGTTTTTAATGGTCTTTTCCAACTCAAAAGATTCTATGATATCCATAACTCTGCTGTGTTTTCTTTTTCAGGAAGCCCTTACCAGCCCATAATTGAAGAACTAAGAAACTATCCACAAAAGAGGTTCTACAATGTCTCAAAGCTTGGAGGCACCAAGTATGGTAATGATAACTTCTACATTTGTAATGAGGGCAGTACCTGCAGCAAATGTGCACCACTTACTGCTGTGAAGTGGTAGGAGGTGCAACATGTGTGTGAGTTCTTAATACATGTATTTGAAAGCTTATAATTTTCTACCCTATTATTGTTTTATGAAGTTGATTGATAGCTCTTGCAGTTGCTGTAGAAGGGTGAGTTCTGGTGGTGTACAAACAAATCCTTAATCTCAGCATATCATTAGCAGGCAATATATCACTGATAGGTGCCAAAAAGATTTTTTTTACTGGGCTCTGTGTCTGGATGGCTCCTAAAAAATAAAAAGATTTGTGCGGTGATGTGGGACGGGACAGAAATGTAGGAGAGAGCTATGGGTCATAATCAGCTGGAATGGGTTCTACTCTTGAACGTGATGAGAACATATTTTTGTTATTCTCTTAGCTTTCATGTTAAACTCCTAAGATACTTGAGGTATGTATTGGAGGTACTTGTATTAGAGGTACTTTCAGTTGTGCTGTTTGGTGAAGATACATTTCTTAACTAAAAATTACAGAGAGTATTTCACTTCGAGCCCATGTTTGACAGCAGTAATTATGTCCCTGTTTTTGTTTTGAAAGAGGGAGGAGCTCTTTCTAGTGCAACAATGGCTGCTGCAAATTTTGTGCAACAGCTGTGTGCTCCTGCAAATTTCTAACGTAATACTGGAGTTAATCTTTCAAAATGAGCGTGAGAAGGGACAAAATGTTTGTTTGTTGCTTTGTCTGAGAAGAAGCAGTGGAGTGGTAGCAGCAAAACCAGCCCATTCTGTAGGTTTGTTTGTTTTTGTTTTTGTTTTTGTTTTTTTTGAAGGGCCTGTAGTGAAAATTCATGTAGAGGATACTGCTTTCTATCTAAGATGTCCAAATAAAGATTGGAGCAGCAGTGGAATTTGAAAATATTCACAGAATGAATCCAAGCAGAATAGGTTAAGGTGGTCTTTCTCTTCCAATAGAAATTGATGGGCAGAAGTTGGAAGCTTTGTATTAACTGAATATTAGAAAAATATTGGATTTAGGTGCAATGTGGATGATTATGATAAGAAATCCATTACCTGGAATTGTTACTTGAATTTGTTGCTAGAGCATTAATTTTGGTTCTTGCCCTGTTTTCCCTTTGCCTTGGGGCTTCTGACCATGGTCTGACAATAAGTGCCTGTTCAAGTTAATCAGATTTCTAATGCAACTGTTAATTCATTTATTTGCTGATTTGTTTGGGAGGGGGAGGGCATCTGATTTTTTTTTTTTTTCCTAGCATTGAAGATAGTAGTCTGTTGTGGGTAAAATGGTAGCTGGGCCTGCATCACTGCTGGGACTGGGGCTGACCTTGGCAGCCCTTCTCAATTTTGTCTCCAAGGATGGGGATTCCACATCTTTCATAATCCTGTGCCTACCCATCTTCCCTGTCACATCTTCTTTGTATCTGACTGTGGTATCTATTCCTGCACCTTGTGGCTGTTTTTGTGCTTTCAGCATGCACTTAGTAGGCAGGCTTCACCTTCTCTGCAGTTCCCATTGAACTTTGAAAGACTACAATTAGTGCACTTAGCTTTTTCTCCTCAGGTTGAGCAAGTGCAGCTCTCTCACAGCTGTGTGACACATTCTGCAGCCCCATAACCATCTTAGAGGCCTTTCACTGGGTATGCTTTGATTTGTTGAGATGTCCCATGTTTTGAGAGGCCCAAAACCACGCGCAGTGCTTTGGATACTCTGCTAGTTTGATAGCCCCTGGTAGAGTGAAGTAATCCATCCTTCATTGCTGATGACTGCTATCTGTACAGTTAGCACAGGGTGCTGCTTTGTACTTGTAAGGAATAAGTCAAGCAGTTCTGTCCCGGTAATTTGACTTTTAAGTAAAATGGTGGTATTACAGCTGATTCAGATGTGGTTTTGATGATATTTCTATATTATTTTGAATGACTTGTCTAGTTAGACAACAGTAAATACCTTAGCAAGATGCATGATGAGAACAATAAATCTTTATTGGCAGCTTTTGGATGAACTTACTGATCAGCAAATATTTGTTTTCTTAAGCCTCAACTGAGTTGTTTAACTCCCTTCTTGCAACTAACTTGTTCATACTTCTCACTATTATCAAATTATTTGCCTGCTTGAATTATGATGAAAAGAATGATACGTGGAGGAAAATGTGAATTCTTTGTTTGTTTGCAGTGATGCTTTTCCTTTTCTCCCAGTTTTTTTTTTTCTTTCTCAGTTCCAGTTCCCTCAGTTTTACCTGAAACAGCCAGGAAGCTGTTTCTTCTCAGTACCTTAGCTCAGATCAGAGGCAAAGCACTGGAAGTTCTGTTTAGTGAAATGTTGTTCTTTGTATTTCATGAAATGTTTAATTTTATGGCACATATCAGAAGAGTTTCTGGTCCTGAAATCACAGTGTTTTGTTGTTTGTTTGTTTGTTTGTTTTTTTAAGAAGAAAACATCAGGCACTGGTTGCTTTTGGCTTTTTATCTCAAGTAATGAGATGGTGAAATGAGCAAACAAAAACTTCTTAGAATACTCTACAGGTGTTGCCTTTCTCCCATTCTGTTTGATTGGTAACCCCAATTCTACATGCCTCGTGTGCATCTCCTGCCAGCACAGCATACCTTCCTATCTGCTGCTGGCATAACACAGTGCAGTCAAACATTGGTATCTTCAGTTCAAATTCAATGTAACTCATCTTCTGTAATGTACATGCTGTACCATTCCTTATTTTATAGTGAAGATCAAACCCCAAAGCAACTATACAGCTTGTTTCCCATAGCTCTCTTCCTTCTAATTTGTAGTGAAGTGGACCTCCTTAGAAATGTGAAATAGTAATTTATGAAGACGTAAATGAGTTGGGGGTGTTGTACTAATTAAGCCAGTTGTTTTGTTTTGCCCTAGATATTCTGCCTTATTCCATACGAGTGTTGTTTGAATCCAGCATCCGTAACTGTGATGGCTTCTTGGTGAAAGAAACAGATGCTATGAACATTTTAGACTGGAAAACAAAGCAGAACGATGTCGAAGTGCCCTTCTGTCCTGCCAGAGTTGTTCTTCAAGATTTTACGTAAGTAGAGTGTTTGCTTATGTGAGCGTGTGGAAAAAAATGTCAAATAACCTGTGAGAACTCAGTGAGTAGCATGTGTACTTCAGCTTGGCAATAAACAGCACCTGGCTGTTGGATACAGAAGTTTCTCTCTTTCTCAGTAGAAATGTATACACTGCTTCTGCTGTTCAGCAGAGACATCATGATTGCATGTGGCACAAGAAGAGGAATTGTTCCTTAGGGTGCCTTGTTTTTACTGCGGGTTGGTGAAGGTGAAGCTGTTGGCCTACAGTGGGTGTTTCACAGGATTAATGCCAAAACACAAATGGAAATGGAGGCATTTTGATTGTAGCCAGATGGCTGACAGTTCATTGAAACACAGTTTGTGCTTCACACAACTGGAGATTAAATGTTGCATGCTCCACCAGTATGTGTAATCCAGTTGAAACAATGAATGATGCATATATTAGAGTCTCTGAAGATAATAGCTTGATGTAGTGTGAGTATAGCATAGCTGTAAGGACTGTCTTTCAGCAACTTGGGAATGTTAATTTTAAGATGTATTGGATTAATTTAAGATTAATTTAAGATTAATTGGATAAATTTAAGATTGTGTTGGATGATGTATTTATGTACAAGATGTATTTATGAACAAGAGAGTTTCAGAAGAAAAGTGATGGTAATAAAGTTATGGGATATCAGGCAAAATAAGAATGATTTAAGTAATGCTGTGTTCTCTCTTCAGTTGTGTGCTTCAAGTATACTTACCAGTGTAGTAGTAACAAGAGTACTGATTCTGTAATATGTTGTGAGCTTCAGAAATGACTGGCTTTGTAAGAAGAGTAGTAATATATACTGAAATATTAAAGTACAGCTTGAGCGGTGTTCATATAAGTATTTATAAGGTAATAAGCATCTAAAAGTGGTTTTTTAAAGTGAAGAACATTATGCTTCAGAAACACAGCAAGGCAAGAGAGCAAATATAATTGTCTTCTTGAAGGTGTTGCTGTGTTTTTAGGTCTGTTACCTTAAAACATGCTGTTGCTTGTTGTGAATTAGTGCCAATTCATTCACTTCTGAAACTTGGAGAATAAAACAGTAGGGTTTTAATTTCTGAAAAAGAACTCAAATAGATCTTGGGCTTACAAAGAGGTTTGTGAGTTTAATGCACGTGTGTCCCATGTTATTGTGCTACTTTCCTTTTTTTTCTGTTAGTGGAATTCCAGCAATGGTGGATTTCGCTGCCATGAGAGAAGCAGTAAGAAATGCTGGAGGAGATCCTGTGAAAGTCAATCCTGCCTGCCCAACTGATCTCACTGTTGACCATTCTCTGCAGATTGATTTCAGCAAATGGTAACAAATCTCTTTTCTTCTCTTTTCATGATCTGTGGCATTTACCCTATACTAAACTGTCTGTTTACTCTGGTAAATCACTTCTCAAATCTGGATCCTTGAAAGTAGATCTGGAAGAGAACTGATGAAAGTGGAGAAAGTAACACTATAGAAGGAGAGAGAATGATTTTGAGGTGTTATACTTGGAATTGACTTGGTAACCCAAATTCTGGGCAAGAAATTTGCAGAAATAAACTGGATCCATCGTGATTTCCAGCAAATAGTATGCCTCAAGAGAATGAGGTGGAGTGGCTGTAATTTTTGCTTTACGCTGTTCCTACTGTTAAAACTTATTTTCTTGATTAGCACTGAATGCAAGTGCCTTCTCACAGCTCTGGAGAAATGGCTTGGCAGTCCTACTGGATGTACTGAAAGGTCGTAATTTCAGCTTCTAAGTTATGACTGTGACTTTATATAGGCCTTGATTTTACTGCAGATGAAAAAAGGGCTGTGGAGACAGCATACTTATAGGAGTCTGGATAAGTATTACATCTGGAAGACTGACAGCCTGGTTTTCTTCTCCTAACAGGCAGTAATGTGATGAGAACAGCCTGGGGCTGCCTTGCACTAGAAAGATAATGTGCAGAAGAAAATGTGAATTTTATTCCATGTTTGCTGAACGTTTCCTATAACGTAGTTCCCCTCCACCCCTACCCCATTCATCACAGAGCCTTCCCAGAGTCTTGCAGAACTGTGTAAATTTCTTGAGCTTCTCCTGAATTCCTAAAAATTCAGGAGAAAAGCCTGTAGCAGCTGGGTATGGGTGTACGAGGCATCCTTCTAGTAGGATATCCAGGTACATGCAGAACTTCAGCTGGGTTAGTAGCTCAGAGTGAAAAGCAAGAAGGTATGAAGTGATGTTGCACGTGTGCTGTTGCAGTTCTGTCCATTCTTGTGTCTGGAGGGACAGCTGAGTCGATTTCAATGGGGCTAGCCTGAAATTATCAGCAGCACCAAGTGCTGGCAAGAGGTCTCCCAGTGTGCTGCTTTGTAATGATAAAGTGTGTCACTGTCCTTTGGCTTCTGGAAAGCTTGCAGGATCTCAGCAGCTGCTGACATATGATAAGAAACCCTTCTCCCCAGGGTGGTTTGTGCTGCTTTTATACAACTGCCATCTCCTGCTGATCATAGGCTCATGGAATTAAGACAAGGTATCCTCTGTGACCCTGCACTGTTCTACCATTAGATAACTAAGTATCTTTGTGTGCTAAAGCAGTAGAAAGCAGGGGATTTACTTAAAATCAATGATTTGTTTTAAACATTTGAGTGTTTGCTAAATCATTCACCTTTCACCACAATTACTTTCTTAGCTCTCAAGGGAAAACAGTGTTGCACAAATATAGGTAGCATATGGATGGACTTTATTTTAAAAATAAAACCAAATTTCTGTTTTCTGATTGAAATGACGTGAGCATCAAATGTATCTGAATCTTTGATAATTCAGATCAAAAGCCTCATTTCTTTCCTTGAGAAGTCTTTGTCTTGTGAATCATTCTGACATTAAATTCTTTTGTCCATTGCTGCAGTGCAATACAGAATGCCCCAAACCCTGGAGGTGGTGAGACGCAGAAGCCGACAGCAAAGCTTTCTCCGCTGAAGGGACAGCCGCGGAAACTGCCGTGCCGGGGTCAGAGCAGCTGCAAGGGGCCCTGCAGTGCTGGGGAGCTGAGCCGTGCCTCGGGGCAGTTCTCTGCACAGATAGAGAACACACCTATCCTCTGCCCTTTTCACCTTCAGCCAGTGCCTGAGTATGAAAACTTACTCCTTTGATTATTTGCATCGTTCTGTGTTGTTAAGCTCTGCTTGTGACAGTCTATAGAGATGTGGTTTGGTAAACAGTGCAAATGCTGTTTTTAATTGCATTTTGAGACTTCCCTTCATTACCAGATAAGCCTCAGTGAAGCACTGATTTTTTTTTTTATGGCTAAAAGTAACTTTTTTACTTGTGGGATCCTTATAGGAGTTTCTAGCCCTTATGGACTAGCCTAAACATCACTTCTGTCTAGCATTCCATCTATCACAGAATCAGAATCACAAAATGGCCAGCGTTAGAAGGGACCTCAAGGATCATCCATCTCCAACCCCATGGCACAGGCAGGGCCACCAACCTCCCTATTTAATACCAGACCAGGCTGCCCAGGGGCCCATCCAACCTGGCCTTGAACACCTCCAGGGACGGGGCATCCACAGCCTCTCTGGGCAGCTGTTCCATCACCTCACCACTCTCTCTGTAAAGAACTTTCCCCAGAAATCCAGCCTAAATCTTCCTTCCTCAACTTAAAACCATTTCCCCTTGTCCTGCCATTATCTACCCTTTCAGAGAGTTGAATTCAGTCACTCAGCTGAAATTCGCTGTACATTCTGCTTGTGTGTAATGGCATAAGGGATCCTTGTCTGTTTCTTCTCCAGATTTTCAATATTATTAACAGTTCATCGTGTCCATTCAATCTGTGACAATTACATGTAATCTTCTTTCAGCTGCCATTCATTTTCTCTCATAGGCTCTTCAAATATCTATCTCTTTGTGCCTGACTGGGGTAAAATTTAAAAGCTGGTGGTGTTTGTAATTTTACAGATATGCAAATGTTTCTGCTCAGTATAGGTGTGGGAATGCAGAATTAGTGATGTTTTTTGGCTGTACTGGCAGGAAACAAGCAGTATCATTTGTTAAGCTGCAGTTTAATGATGGCTGTCCTTTGGTACTCTGTAGAACACTACAGTGCTAACCTTCTGACACTTCATAGGTCATGGTGTGTAATAAAATACCCCTCTGTAATACTGAGGGTTCTCCTTCTTTCTGCTGCAAGGCACATATATTCATAGTGCATTGATATTCACAGAATCACCAAGTTTGGGTTGGGTTGGAAGGGACCTTGAAGATCGTATAGTTCCTACTCCCCTGCTATATTCCCTTCCTCGTTCTCTTTCTCAAAGCAGAGGTTACTCCTCTTTAATTGTGGGTTACTCCTTTGTAATGAATATCAGCATCTTAATGAATATCACTTAGGATATTAAAGTTCATGTTATTAGACTGTACTGTCTTTCATCACACAAGCAAAAACAACTGTTCTGTACTTTTGAAATATTTATGATAGTACTTGTAAACTTGCTCTTTCTAGGCCTGAGACAGTATTGAAAAATCAAGAGATGGAATTTGGCAGAAATAGAGAGAGGCTTCAGTTTTTTAAGGTATGTCTGTGCACCTGTGCATTTTGTATATTGCATGTTTTGGTGGGTGTGAGATCTTGTTTTGTTTGCCTCCTGGTGTTCAAGTTTACATAATGAATGTAGCTTGTCAGGCTGTAAATCTGAGTTCAGTGTGAGTATAAAATGGGCTAGTAACAGGTTTATGAATTTCATTTTAAAACTGCTAGACAGCAGAAGTTGTAAATCTAGGTTTCATGTAAAGGGGAAAGAAGATTTAAGTCTGATTTGAAAAAGCGTTTACTGTTTGGTTTGGTCTTGTCAGTGTGACGGTACTGGACACAGTAAACACTTAGTAAACAGCAATCAAGACTGATATTTCATGAACTCTGTGCTGTAGATCACAATGGGCTTTTCAGATAATAAGTTTATTTATCCATGCTTGTGTTGCAAATCTTACTGAAACTAGAAATATTAAATGGAAGTTGATATTGAAGGATTGCTGCTCTCAAACTAGGCAGCAGTGCCAGCAGACTTGTTTTGAATGCAAATCTTGTGGTGAGTGTCAGCTTCCTTATAACCAGGGATCTGCAGCATTGGTGTTTGATCCTCACCCACTAATTTAGTGTGGTTTAGGAATCTGATCAAGTGATCTGAAAATCTTTTCATACAAGTACACTAGGAGACTGTCAGAAAAGCTGCAGGTCAGCTTGTATGTATGAAGAGGGAAACCACCAAGCTGGATTTTGTTACGAGCCTCCATGGCAGTTACTTTTGTAGCTATCTGGCATCCTGAGCTTGCATGTAGTAAGGTACTTGTACAGATTGCTTCCTTAGTCCCACACAGGTATGTAAAACCTAAACTGAAATCTGTGATTCTAATTCTGTTGTCTAAATATTAGTCTTGGCTGTGCCTGAAAATCAGTTGTGTGAGCTAGAAGTTAAGAGCCTTGTACAGCCCTGCATTTGGGAGTTAGGAACTATCAATTCAGTCTTCAACAGAATTGAATACATGGGTTTGTTAACCATTTAAGAATGCATAAGATCCAAGGAACTCATGTAACTGTTGGAATAATGAGCACGAGGCACATAAGTAGCAAATACTGTTGCATTGCATATCAGCTTCGTTGTTTTAATTGTGTTCCAAAAAGAATTGAATAAATCCCTGAGACAAATCTCTCTTTTTTTTCCTCATTTTGGGAAAAAAAAACAACAACAGTGGAGTTCAAAAGTCTTCAAGAATACTTCCATAATACCACCAGAGACTGGAATGGCACACCAGGTTAATTTGGAGTATCTATCAAGAGTTGTATTTGATGTGAAAGATTTCTTATATCCAGATAGCGTGGTTGGCACAGATTCTCATACAACCATGGTAAATGGCTTGGGTATCTTGGGCTGGGGTAAGTATGCTAACAGTAACTTGATAGCAATTTGAAAGGCTTACTGAAGCATTATTGAGAAATACTTTCTTCTTACTTCCTAGAGTTGTTTCAGGCTCAGTTGTGAGTCTTCAGAATGTGTTTTTTTTGTCTCTACTGACACTTCTTACCGTAAAAACCTGCTTGATGCAATTTAAAGAAAATAGCAAAAAAGAAAACCAAAAACCTTTTGATATCCTAGTTGCTTTTTGTGCATGTGCTATAAAATTTGGATTAAGATTTTCTTTATTGTGGAAAGTAAAACTTAGATATAGAATATCTTTCTAGTTAAATGTGAAGTCAAACAACTTCAGCAGTAGTCTTGTTTGTTTTTTCATGTGCAAATATTTAATAGAAAACACCTGTATTTCTTGCTGTGGCCTCTAGACTTATAGGAAGGGTTTTATTAGACTTTAGAACTTAGAAATATTTAGTGTCTGTTTACTTAGACTGATGAAAAACAAAGTAATATTTTCACTGCAGGTGTTGGGGGAATTGAAACAGAAGCTGTGATGCTGGGGATGCCGGTTACTCTCACTCTGCCTGAGGTGGTTGGGTGTGAACTGACAGGCACAGCCAGCCCACTTGCTACATCCATAGACATTGTTCTGGGCATTACAAAGGTAAGTTCAGTGCCTGCTCAGACAGTAATCTGTGGGTTTTGAGAAGTGAAATCCTGGCAGGATTTTTGGCATGCCTTTAGTTATAGTAATGCAGAAAGATTCCCACAATAACTAAGAGTTTTTACTTAATAGTCCTCTGGAGTGTTTGTCTTACATAGTGGATTACTTATAAGCTCTCTCAAAAAAAGGAAGCCTATTTGTAGGAGAGAGAGCGCACAGAATCCTTGTGTTCTATTTTTTTCTATTCTTCTGACAGCATGTAGGCTTCTCTTCTAGCTTAAACTTCTTCTGGGTACCTTTTTTCCTGAAGCGTTGCAGGACAAAAGGCCCATCTGTAGTTATGAACTGGTATAAGTAAAAAATGTACCTTCTGAAGCTGGCTTTGCCAGCATGGCACAAACCTCCCTTTTCTAGTTGGTTGAGAGCCAGTGTGAAAGCATTTAAGAGCTTTGATTGCTTTGAAAATGTTCTTTCTGGTGTGATGCTTTGAAAAGCATCTGTTTTTCCCTTGGACATCTGAAAAACACCACTGCCAATAGAAGTGTGTTTTATGTCAACATCCAGCCTTGAATTTAGTATTCAGTATCTCATAGGTTGTAGGGTTTTTTGCTAATTGCAAGAGGCATTGCTTCCATTGTTTCTTAGCATACCACATGTTGTGTTCTTCTAAACAGCATCTTCGGCAAGCTGAAGTCGCTGGAAAATTTGTTGAGTTCTTTGGGAGTGGAGTTTCCCAGCTGTCTGTGGCAGATCGAACCACAATAGCAAATATGTGTCCTGAATACGGTGCTATTCTGAGCTTTTTCCCTGTTGATAATGTGACGTTGAAGCACTTAAAGCATACAGGTAAAGATGAAATCCTAGGAAGTCATTTCCTGTAATAGTTTCAGATACGTAGCAGTGCAAAATCAAATGTCCCAACAAAGCCAAATCAAAATAATGAAACAGTGAATCTAAACACAGCGTGTTTCTGATTTTCACTGTGATTTCTTCAATTTGAAGACTTCTACTGACACCTTAAACTAAGGCAGAAGAATATCCATTTTCTTCTCAAGCTAGAACTAATAGAGAAGAGCACAGGGTAACATAATAAGAAAGCTTACCTGAATTAGTAAGCCTTTCTGAAGCTGAAATCTGACATGTTTGAGTTAAGCATTTCTAATAACAAATATGCATGGGTTGGTCAGCACAGAGCAAACAAATCAGATTTCTTAACAGTAGCCAACAGTGCTGGATTTTACCAGCTAAACATGTGATCTGTCTTAAGTAAATCTTAATATAGGAGGATCTTCATAAACGTAAGGGGCAAATCTGTAAGGTTAATTAGCTACAATTTCTGATGTTTAAATAGCTTATTTTCATCCTTTATATGAAGAGGGAAAGTTAAATAAATAAAAAAATCAGACACCCCCCCCTTTCCCACCAGTATTTTAATTTCTGTATCATTCCTGAATAGTTCCTTTGGGAGCGTAAAATGAAGTGGTATGCCTTGAAAAAGAAGTACTTTAAATGTTCAAGAACAATTTTCAATTAGAAGTGTTGATTTCTGAGAGCTGGTGGGGTTTTTATGCAACTTTATTATGTTTAAATTTACTAAGGTTTCGATGAGGCCAAGCTTGAGGTTATGGAAGCATATCTTAAAGCTGTGAAGCTATTTAGAAATGATGAGAGTTCTTCCAGAGAACCCGAGTATTCCCAGGTATGCTTGAAATGTTCTTTGTTTGGTTCTCATAACAAGTAACAGCTGTGGATTTAAGTTTTGTCTCCTGCTGTGATTTTTAGTACTTTAATGAAGTAGTATTTATTAACTCACAGTTCTAAGCAGAGCATGCTTTCAAGGCATGGGCAGGCATGAGGGAAAGAAGAGAAGTAGAATAGTGTTCATTTGAACTAATAGATCTTGAATTCATGTCACTCTCAGGTACGTATGCAAGTCTTAAGGATGATGGAAAAGTTAGGAGTAATGATAAAACGTTTTGACTAAGAACCTTTTGAGGGTTTGGCTGAATGGGCTGCTTTTACAATGGAAGGCTGGATTCCATCTCAGAGGTGCCCCCTAACCTGGGCTTTCCTTTGACCAACAGCCTGGTACAATGAAACAGCTTGGAACTGGAGGCTAGTTTTAATGTCTCAAAACACTGGCATTTTAAAACAGATTCTGAGCATCTCTACGGAGTGCATTCAATATAGTGTGAAACTGGGACTGACAATGCATGCTTTTCTCTTTTATTTCTTTTTTTTTTTAGGTAGTGCAAATTAGTTTAAGTTCTATAATTCCTCATGTCAGTGGTCCCAAGAGATCCCAAGATAGAGTGGCTGTCAATAACATGAAAAGTGACTTCCAAACCTGCTTAAACGAAAAGGTTTGTACAACTGCTGTACTCTTCAAAAGGTACTTCTTAAAATCCACATAAATGTTATTTATTCCCTGCACACCTGCTGAGCTCTAGTTATTACTGTATGAACAGATAATCTGATGAAAGTCTTCCATTGCTTGACAAGAGTCCCTAAGGTAGTAGCTGGTAAATCCTAGGTGTGCTTTTCATAAATGTGACATTGGAAAATCCTTACTTGGCCAGTTTAGGTTGCTAGGGAGAGAAAACATCAGAATTCACTAGTGCAAATTCGGGGAATATTTTATTTTTCTTAGTTTTTTTAAACGTTTTATTTATTTTCCCAAACATTACAAGAAGAAAAATCATCTTGTTAAGATATGCAGAAATACTTCCAGGATTTGAAAGTACCTGCTGTTATAGGTTCTTAACTTCTCTTTCATCCACCTTAACTAGCAAGAGATTTTTGCTTGAAGCTTAACTTCACTTCAGAGAGCACTCTTAAACTCATTTTTTTTCTAAGTAATATGCATAGATATATGCATAGCCATCTAAGAATACAGCTGATGTAGGCATTAGTGGGCTTTTTTTAGTGTTCCTCTTTAAAATCGAAGTCTAGCAATAGCTTTAGATCAGAAATGTTTCCACTTAGTTTCAAAATTCTGTCTTGGCTTTAGCCTTTCTGGCTTGTAATGAGACATGATACAGAATGATCAGTTGTGGTGGGGACAGATCATAGCTGATGGTGGACAACAGTGCTGAGAAGCTGGAGGGTGCATTCTGCTTTTAGTTGCAATCCTGTTCCAAATAAAACCTTGGGTATGGCTCTAATTCAGAAAAAATGTATGGAATCAGATGTATACTCTTAAGGACTTAATCTTGCGTTTGTAGCACAAAGTGTGAGATCAACCATGCTTTGACTGGCATTTATTTGCAATTGTTGTAGTTAACATAATTATGAAGAAAGAAAAACACTGTATATATGACAAGTGAGGTGAACTGAGGGCTTTTTAAAAAATCTCTTTAAGGCTTCCTAATGGGATAGCTGAATATTCCTCTAAAGCAAGATTTGCTTTGTCTACCTGCAGTATCATACTTTGGAGATTGGCAGCCCTGCCTGTGGCACAGGAGTTGGAGCTTGATTATCCTTAAGGTCCCTTCCAACACAAGCCATTCTGTGATTCTTTGAGCCTACGAATATTTGCTAATGCATGTTTTTGTTATCTAGGCTGGTGTGAAAGGGTTTCAGATTGCAGCTGAAAAACAGAATGACGTTGTACCTGTTCAGTATGAAGGAAACCAATACGAGCTCTCTCATGGCTGTGTTGTCATTGCTGCAGTAATCAGCTGTACAAATAACTGCAATCCATCTGTCATGCTCGCTGCAGGTATGTTATGTCTGATAGAAGCTAACTGGACCTTGTTGTTTTGCCATTATTTACCTTTACTTTTGTAGATGCTCTGTAATGACTTGACCTCAGGTTGTCACACAGTAGACTTGTAGTTTTAAACCTGTATGTTTTGGAGGTTATGCAGTGCAAGTTTCTCTCCAATAATACAATCTCAAAGTTTGTGTCATAAGGCAGCATTAATAACAGTAATTCCAAAATTATTTGGTAGCATTTTTACTAATAAGTTTTAGGGCTGTCTTCAAATGGATGCACGTGTGGACACAGTTGTGGCAGGAGGCAGGCTTTAGCTTTGCCTTCATCCTGGATGATAATGGCTTGAACACTATGGTTAGCAGCAGTGTGGAAAGAAAATCCAGATTGCTGAAGAATTGCTCTTTGCCTTTCTTGCTAGCTGAGGAATTGGTGCCCTCCCACCATAAGCTGTGGCTAGTTTTCCCAGAATCTGCCCAGACTTTACTGTTGTCCTTCTGTGGCTCAGGCAAGCTTTCCTTTGAAGCTGTGTGGCCTATGTTGGTAGATGAGCAGACAGTGCAGTACTGACTGCCAGCTAGAATGTGACAAAATTTTTGTTACAGAAAATGTAACAAAATATATAATAGGAGTGAGAACAGAAATCTGAATTATATTGCTATGAATTAAGTAACTCTATTCACACAAGTAGTTGCTTCAATTCAATAAACTGAAGGTCCCATGTTCTTTTTGCTTAGCTAAATAAGCTAGCATAATGTAGATGTTCTTTTAAGGGACATAAAAATATGAATTGTCTTTTTTTGTAGGACTCCTGGCCAAAAAGGCAGTTGAAGCTGGCCTAGAGGTGAAGCCCTACATAAGAACTAGTCTGTCACCAGGCAGCGGAATGGTTACACATTACCTCAGTTCCAGTGGAGTATTACCATACCTCAGTAAGCTTGGGTAAGTTTTGATTCCTATTTGGAACTCTAGAAAATAGTATATGTGGGTTTTGTACAGCTTGGTAAATACACTTGCTCTGTTTTTTGGGATGGCTAATTCATAAGTTTGCTAGTTTGTCCTTTTAATTTTGTGTTTGGTTGAAGTTAAGCTTCACTCCATTTTTATCCCTATCTTACAACTTTATGATGTGTACATCTTTACCTTAGCTGAACTCTGGCTTTCACTAACAAGCTGTGTGTGTAAGTGGCTTTCACAGAATGCACTTAGTCCTATATTGAAATTCCAGAAATGGAAGCTGGATGTGAATTCTTGAGGGCAGCCTGTTAGTGTTCAGCCTGTGTTGTTGTTGGGCATGCTTTTGGTTGCTCGGTAGCTGTAACAATTACACTGTCCATGCAGCTGTGCAGTGTTACAGGATTACTCTGTGAAGAATGTTACTGCCTTTGTGTTACCAGTACTTGCTGAACAGAAATATTTGACTTGGCTTAGGTTGGTAATTACAAGAATATCACCTTGTATCTTGCCTGCATTCATCAGATGCAGTGTCTGACATGCAATTCCTAGAAAGTCTAATTACCAAATGAGGAAAAGAAAAATTCCTCTTAGTGACTACTGCTTAAAAAAAAAAAGCTGACAAATTGCTCTTCATCTTTTAATGTGCTACTTTATTACTTTTTTCCAATGTAGGTTTGAGGTTGTTGGTTATGGATGTTCAACGTGTGTTGGAAATACTGCTCCTCTTCCAGAAGCCATCAGGAATGCAATAAAGCAGGTAGAGCTCTAAGGCTTGTGGAGTATAGAAACATACGTCTTACCCTGCTAACTGATCAAGAGATGCAGTATTCTGTGCAAAAAGCTCTTCATTCTTGGTTTGGACCATGGTGTGATGTTAGGCATCTGCTTTTCAGAGGGAGACAACAGTAATTATGTGAAATAGGTGTAACAAGTAGAGTCTGTGTGGCATGTAGATATAAACACTAACGTGAATACATCCTTTCTAAGATTAGGTTCCATGTAACGTGTAGGGATTTTCAAAACTTACGTCCTGGACTGGTTTGTATCAGCAGTGTGTAAACAGCTGCAGCGTTTTTCCCCTATGAAATAGTGGAAGGATATAAGAACTAAGACAGGACTTCACTGAAGTGACTAGAGATCACATCAGTTAAGAGTTTCTAAACTCTTTATGGGAGAAGGAAGGACAGCACCAGAGAACAAAACGCCTTTGTGTTGAAGGTTTAGGTTACATATTTAAAGCAGAATGCAAAAAGTGCATCTTAGTCAACAAAACCTAATGTGAGCTGTTGTGCTACCATGAGGTCCTAGACAAATAACCATGGGTCTGCCTTGCAGGGTGATATCATTGCCTGTGGAGTGCTGTCTGGAACAAAGAACTTTGAAGGACGTCTGTGTGACTGTGTCCGTGCCAACTACCTTGCTTCTCCCCCACTTGTAGTTGCATATGCTATTGCAGGCACTGTTAGAATAGACTTTGAGACTGAGCCTTTGGGTGAGTATTCTTTACCTCTCTCATTTCTGCTTCTAATGCATGCCTAGAAGGGGGTTACTTCGTGTGCGTTTCAGCATACGTCAACACTGCATTTAAAGAGAAAGCACAGCAAGCTTTGGTATTGTAGTTTAAAAAAAAACAAACACATCCATTTAGATATAGTTCTCTGAAAAGCTGTGCGTGTCTGTATGTATGAATGTATGTATAATAGTCTTGAAGACTTTTCTTCATTAGCTTTCTGCTTAAAACCTTTCTCAGGCACTGGCTTTAATGGCAGAAGTATCTACTTAAGGGATATTTGGCCCACGCGGAAAGAACTACACACAGTGGAGGAAGAGTGTGTGATATCATCTATGTTTAAGGAATTGAAAGAAAAAATGGAGGTGAGAATGGTCTTTTATTCTAAATAAGAGTGCATTTCATCATTGCTTTATAATATTTTCCAGTTGAATATAATTGGATTGCCACTTATTTCCATTACACGAAATTAGAATTTGACTGATATGCATACAGTGTATTAATAATATCCAATAAGATAACTTGTAACATATAACAAGCTCAAAAGAAGATCACCAGTAAGTCTTCATTTTCAGAATGTAAGTAGGCCATAAATCAATATCTCTGGTTTTGGTCACTTCTGTGTAGAAAGGAAACAAACGATGGAATTCACTGGAAGCACCTGAGTCACCTTTATTTCCCTGGGACTTGAAATCCACTTATATCAGATGTCCTTCCTTCTTTGATAAACTTGTGAGTATGTTGGATCTATCCACTATGTACAAGTAAAGGAGCAGCTATTCCAGTAACGCTTCACCATATAAGTAATAGATTTTATCATCAGTAATATTTTTCAGTCCTCTAAATGCTCTTTGTATGTCTGGAATGAGTTGAGTCTTCAATGTATCTTAATATTTGCAGAAATATTTTTGTTTCTAAGGCTCTTAGTAGGAAAAAAATCTGTTTTGTTTCCCTTCCTGCCTAGGCCAAAGAACCGGTTTCCCCGCAGCTGATTGAAAATGCCCATGTCTTGCTCTATTTGGGAGATTCTGTAACCACAGATCATATATCTCCTGCTGGAAGCATTGCAAGGAGCAGTGCAGCTGCTAAGTACCTGACTAACAAAGGGTAAGGTCTGCCATGAGCCTCCTCTTCTCCAGGCTGACCCATCCCAGCTCCCTCAGCTGCTCCCCGTAACACCTGTGCTCCGGACTCCTCACAGCTCTGTTATTCTCTTCTGAACATGCTGTAGGGCCTCAATGCTCTTCTTGTAATGATGGGCCCAAGTCTGAACACAGATCTCAAGGTTTGGTCTCACCTCTGCTGAGTATGTTATAAAGGAGTATTATAATCAGTATCAATGGAGTGTGACAAAGAAATAGCCTGCAGCACAGACTGATTCTAACTTGTATGCATTTGAATGAGTAGTGTTACAAGAAAGGAAAAAATTATTAAAAAAAAAAATTAATAAACCTTTACTCCAAGTTTGTAATGATTTGAGTAAAGCTGTGACTTTTGTTGGAATATTTATTGATACATAGGCTGTTAGAGGATTAGTAAACACACTGCTTTACTGTGGCAACTCCTGAGCTGGAATGATTGCTGCATGATTCTTCTGTAAGTACTGTACTGTTGTTCATAATGTTTTATAATGAAGTAATAGATGATGCATTTAAAATTGCAGCTTTACTTATGAATAATCTAGCAATTATTTACATGTTTATGATTTATAATGATTGTATTTGATAAGTAGTTCTTTACATCTTGTGCTGATAACCTCATGGTTTTGAGCGATGCTGCAGTACTTAGAGTAATCCTAGTACTGTTTTAAAGCAAATGAAACAGTGGTTTCCTTTTTAAATGTTTTTATTTTAGACTCACACCTCGTGAATTCAACTCGTATGGGGCTCGACGGGGTAATGATGCTGTGATGACAAGGGGTACATTTGCTAATATCAAGCTTCTGAACAAGTTCATAGGAAAACCAGCTCCTAAAACAATTCACTTTCCATCAGGACAAACGGTAAGAACGCCTAGGAAGCTGCTTCAAAACTATGATATGGATTAAGATCTCACTCACTCAAACTGTTTAATGTTGTTGTTCCACAGCTAGATGTGTTTGAAGCAGCGGAATTGTACCAGAAAGAAGGCATTCCTGTAATTATTTTAGCAGGAAAGAAGTATGGACTGGGCAGCTCAAGAGACTGGGCAGCAAAAGGGCCTTTTCTACTGGTACTGTTAGTTTGGTTTTTAATATCTGTGGTTTTTGGTATTGTGAGGTTTTTTATTATCTAAAAATATTTTTATAATTTGGGGCATAAACATTTAGAAACTGTATTCAAGGTTGAATGCAATCCTGCATTTTACTTAACAGTAATTTATGCTAAAGACTTCATGGAGGAGAATGACTGGTCAGAAGGGTAACTCTGAATTTGATGACCATGTGAGATCACTTCAGTCTCCAGACTTCTTGAGATAACTTAGACATCCAGTGCTGGATCCTGATTGGATTCTGCAGAGTACTTAGAGGTTTTTAGAGTTTTTTTAATAATAAACTAATTTCCAGTAATATTCAGGATATGTTCTGAGTTAGCCAGTTATTTCTTTACAGCTCTGTAATAAAGGAAGCAGCTGTGTTCCAGCTGGGGCTTGCTCCCTGTCAGCTACAGCACAGTCACTATGCATTCTGAAACTGTTTCATAATGTATGGGTCCACTGAGGTTTATTTGCTGTTGTCAAGCAATACAGCTAGAAGCTATTTGCAGGCTTCATATAAAGTGTTTGTACGCCTGAATTGCAGGACTTTCTATGTAAAAATATTTGAAGCTCACTTTTGCATTTAACTTTGACTGTATTGAAATACAGAATTGCTTGTATCTTTGCAGGGTGTTAAAGCTGTCCTAGCTGAAAGCTATGAAAAAGTCCATAAAAGTCAATTGATTGGAATTGGCATAGCTCCACTTCAGTTTCTTCCTGGAGAAAATCCAAGTACTTTGGGTCTCACTGGCAGAGAGCAGTTCTCTATATTATTCCCTCCAGAGCTGTCGCCCAAAATGACTTTGGATATTAAGGTATATCTGCAGTATCTTTGAATTTCTTATTGAACATGCTTATGATTAACTTGTGCTTTCAGTCCTGATGATTGGAAGCAGGAAAAAATACTTAATCTTCTTAGAAAGTAAACTGATAGTTTGGCCTGAAGTTTGTACTGAAGTACAAATATGGGCACTGTATTAGAGTAGAATTAAGTCTCATCTCATTTGTGTTCTTCTAAAGACAAAAAGGCACAATTAGTTGAGGGAGGCTTCAGCTTTCTATCCTGTGTCAGGTATCTGTATGGTAGTATTTTGTGCCCTCTTAGGGAAATAGGTTTTTTCTTGCTAACACTAGGTGTGTAGCACAGTCCCAACTGGATCAAAACCATATGGTTGGATTAAGTCTTCATTCTGCTCCCAACAGTGTCTCTGTAGTGCAGTGGCAGATAATCAGATTGAATTAGTTTGTGTTAGCCAGAACGTGCTTCTAATGTGCTAACTGAAAGTAAGCAAAGGGAAGTGAAAGGAAAACTCCTAATGGGTGTCTCTGCTTTTGTTTTGAAGACAAGCACTGGAAAAGTGTTCAGCGTGTTTGCCTTGTTTGACAACGATGTGGAGATAACTTTATACAAAAATGGTGGAAGCCTAAACTTTGTGGCTCGAAGATTCTTATAGTAGCTACTGACTGTATGGGTACCTCGCACTAACTGGTAACTCTGAAAATGCCTTGTGTGAACCCAGGAATCTGTACTGTGGAACTGCAGACAGCCCTAGTGTGCTCTAAGTTACTTTGTCCATGGATGTAAAAGATTGTGAATCATTGTAACTGCAGCAAGATCCTTCCTGATTTTAAATAATATTCTAATGGTGCTATTAAACATTGCTAAAATCGACGTGTGTTGTGGCAGAGAGAGCTGTAAGTATGGAGGGGATGTTTTCTCAGACCATTTTTGTAAATAAACAGTGTGAAATCTCAAACTGATTGTGCTGAAGATTATTATGTAAGAAGGTTTTCTGCAGTTGTTTCCACATAGTTTTTGCACCTGTAAATCTGTCTACTGCTGTTGGTTTAAGGGTAGCAGATGGTATGGAAGGTTAAAGGCCAAACAGATGGGTGGTTTGCTTTTTTGGCATCCAGAGCTCAAAATAGATCTTCAGTTTTGAATGTCTTGCTTTTTAAATGATGGCCGCATAAGGCCCATCCTGTCCCATTTTATTGTGTGGAATTATCTCTCTTCTGGATCCAGATGGAGAACTGATCAATCCATGAAGTGCTGTGGGCTATAGAAGTACGATGTTTTTGTGGGCAACATCTCTGCTTGTAAGAGAATGCCCACAGTACATGGCTGGTGTTGAAGTGCAGCCCCCTAGCGTACTGGTAAGCTGCAGTGTCCTTCAGTTGAGAACTCTGTCATATCTTCCTTAAGCTTGTCCTTTGTAGCGTTGGTTTTTACTGTATTGACTGATATCACCTGCCAGAGAACTTCCCTCAGTATTTTAACCTTTAAGAATTTGTATTAGAACTCTTTAATTACTCTGCTTTATGTGCAGCCTATGTCTAATCAGTTACACTTGTCACATGTTAAATTGCTGAGGTAGCCATGCTGCCTTTTAATGCTTTGGAATGTTTGGAAGAGCTGCAAACTAGAAAACAGGCATCAGATTCCCCTGCTGGAGATTGCAGAATACTGAACAGATTTGGTTCTTGGCCACTGCAGCTCCACTAAATCTAATTATGAGCATATTGCTTATAAAAACTGTTTTGTATTTAACATTAATGGAAGATGCACAGTTTCTGCAGAAATGCTTTTGTTTCACCACTTAGCTTAATCACTGAGAGCTTCTAATCTGTGTTGGTTTTCTTTACTGATAGCTTCAGGTATTTCTGTGCTCCTGTATCTTGAACAGCTTCACGATTCCACTCATGTTTATAGAGTGATGGATTGCTTTTGGAGGACAAAGCTGCAGAAACTTGCCTATGAATTGTCAAGATTTTGCTTTCAGATTTTTGATCTTGATAAATGTTGTCTTAAATGTCCTAACTTGCCAGAAGACTCCATTAGTTTTACTGTGTATGCCTTCAGTCTATAACCAGATGCTAAGCCAGCTGACGTGCAAACCAACATGTGCACCATTGGCATCCTGAAATAGTATGGTTATGACATGCCTAAAAATCTGAAAAATCCTGACACAGTTATATCAGTACAACATAATTTTGAGACAGTTCAGCTGCAAACTTCAGTTCCTTTGGCATAGTTCTGATACCTTTCTTCTTTTACTGGACAAAATTCCATAAGGTTTGGAATTCTGTATAACCTGTTCCAATAATTTTGCTGTGTTTTTCTTTTAGCTGGGAAAAACTATTCCAGTGACTCATACCACTGATATGGGTAATAAATCAATGCGTTTTCTAATACTGTATTCAACTGAATGCTGAATGATTTTCTGTTCTGTGGTACAATCTGGTAATTTTATCAAGAATTGAGATTTTACTACTTGTCTAACAGCATCTAATACTTCTTTTCCAGCTCAAAGGTGTATTCATAATTGAAGAAAGTGCATGTTCATTACTAAGGAACAAATCTGACTTTAGAGCTGACGCATAATGATGCTTTGTGCAGGAGATCAGTGAAGTACAGCTGCAAGGCTATCTAAAATACTTGTGCAACTGCTAGAGCTTGAGTGGGGCACAGCCTCCTGCCCTCCCAGTGCAGTGACGCTCCTTGCCTCAGAAGGAGACAGTGATCCAAGCCATGTCAAGGTAAACCAGTATTGTGAAGTGCAATTTCAAGGGCTGTGACTTAGAGTTATTGCCACCAATACTCATCTCTTAAGAAGTGTGACGGTTTCATTACCATAGCAACTACTTAAAGTCTGCTGCACTCCTATGCCTTAATATCAGTGAAAGACAGCTCCAAGTGCAGATGCTGTCAACCTGGAGGCTCCTGCTATTGTTGCTGCTTGGGTCATCTCCCAGCCACACCAACATCCATAGCATCTTTGTGACTTGTGCAGACTGACTCCCACCTTTAAGACATGTATGCCTGAAGGTGGTAGGTGCTGAGGGGAACAGCACTGCTTATGTACCCATCTCTTGCTTCTCACCCAGTAGTGAGCTGCCCTGATCCATGGTCGTGTGCCTGCCCCCCTCCCCTCGTGCAGCAGGGAGCGCCATCAGGTCGAGTCAGTAGCTTGACAGTGAAGGCAGGACGCTGAACTTTGAGCTCACTGCTAGGATTGTGTAAGCTTGAGATGGGCAGCAGTGAAGCCTGCTTCTGGCAGTGACAGGATACAATGCAGGCAGAGGATTGCTGTGATCACACACAAAAAGCATTGTTCAATTAGACTTTCTAGTATCTTAAAGCATAGGAGAAAATACTCCTGTTTGAAGAAGTGACTGTGTTAGATGTATTTAACCTAGAATTCTGTCTCCAGTTTGATTTGGAGAAGAATATTCCAGTTTTTCTAAACATTTACTCTTTGTGCCCTCCCAAATGACCAAGCTTTGGGATAGTGTTGATGTTTATACATTTTACACCTAAGTTTAAGGACATGAAATTCTGTATATTAATCGTATTTAAGCAACTGCAAATCAATGTCTGCTGTTCAAAGCCAACAAAAGAGTTGAAGTTTTAAGTTCAGTGTGTATTGTATAGATATCTTACCAGAAGTTCAGCTGATGACAATTGTGCATAAAATGTTACTGATACTGTAAATTATTTTTAATAAAGAAAATTGTATCACAGTTCTTGTATGTCACCATGTATTTTGAATAGGAGGCATGGACTGATACTAGCATGGCACTGGTAAGAATGTATATGAAGTTGGGGGGAACAAGGAAAAGGGTGCAATTGTGCATTCATTGGATTTGCTCAGTAGGAGCATCTCTCTCATGGATTCCCCAGCGTGCTTTATTGGTTTAGAAGGAAACTTTCTGTGTTAGCTGAGCTCTGGATATTCTGTCAGTAATTTGTGTATTTTTCTTCAGCAAAATATCTGCTCTCATTTAGAATGTAGATCAGGCAGGCTCCTGGTTTGGGTTACATTTTATGGCAGGTAGTGGTAGGATCTGCAGAAATCGATGAGGGTTTGTCTGACAGCTGCCCATTCTCTACACCTCCCTTTTAGACCCGGCACAAGACTTGCATCCACCACATCTGCTCAATTATTTGTTTCCGTAGCGATAGGAGAGGCACAAACCACCTTCCCTGTTTCGGCCCACCACTGCAGCGCCGTGGCTCTGTAACACCGCAGCTGTGTGTCACGTTCTGCGCTGGCTGTAACCCGGGGCGCGTTTTAAGTCAGGCACGGCCAGAAAGCTGTTTTGTTTCAGACCGACTGAATGCCAGGAGCCGGAGGCGATGTCAGTAACCGCAGAGCCCTTTGCATCGCGGCTCAGCCCTGCTGTTTGCTCGCAGTTCCGCCCGCCCTTCGCTCCGAGCGTTCGGGGCTCGGCCCGTAGCAGCGGTGCCGGCAGCCCCGAGCCGGACTCGCTGCTGGCCGAAGGCAGCTTCGGTTAGGGTAAATAATCGAGGCAGAGGGGCCCGCTTTGTTCCGTGCTCGTACCGCACGCAGCCCTGTTGTGCGGCCGGTAGGCGCTTCGTTGCCGGCGGGAAGCCGCGCCGTTCCCTTCCCCGGGCTGCCGCCGAGCTCCGGCCGCCGCCGTTCCCCCGCTCGGGGCGGCTGTGCTCCGCTGGCTGCCCGCGGCCGGACGGCGACGCTCCGGCGGCTCCTGCGCAGTGCGGCCGCTCGCGGGGAGGGCCGGGCCGGGCGGCGGGGGCTCCGCCGGGCAGGGCAAAGGTCCGCGCGGCTCCGAGCGCTGGGGGAGAACGGGACCGGCTCGGTGGTTTGTTTGTTGCGACCGTCATCGATTGCCGCTGGTGTCCCGGCACGGCTCGCCTTTCTTGTCTCTTTCCCGCAGGGGCGCGATGGCTTCTGGAGACCGCCGCCAGCGGGCAGCCACCAAGCCGGCCTTCGGCGAGAAGGAGGTGGCCGAGCTGCTGGACGAAGTGTTCGGATTAAAGGCGTTGTGGGTCAGGTCCCTGCCCAGCTATGACGATCAGAACTTCCACGTGAGAGTCTCAAGCGGAGGTGAAGCCGAAGGGGTCGAGGAGTACGTCCTCAAAATCACCAACTCAGAAGACAGCCAGCAGCCCGCCCTCATCGAGGCGCAGACCCACGCCATGATGTTCCTCAGCGCCCACGGCTTCCCCTCGGCCACGCCGCGGCTCACGAAGGACGGCAGCATCATGTCTCTGCAGGCAGGTGAGCGGCACCAGCACCGCGCCTGGCGGCAATGCGAGCGCCTCGTCACAGCGCAGGTGTCTGCATCGCCTCTGCATCCTGCCCTCTTGTGCTGGCACAAACGCGGAGTAATGCTGGGCACCTACGAACGAGCCCACGCAAGCTGCAGAAGGCGGGTGGCTTTCCCAGGCTCTGCAGCTCTGGCACTTCCTGTAGATCCCAACCCGTTGCACACCTCCCTTCCAGCTTCTGAGCCAGAATTTCTCAGATGAAGTAACTTTGGGGTGCACAGATACTGTGCTGAGAGTGCCAGAGCTGAGCTCCGTCAGATGCCCTGCGTAGTGCAGAAAAACCAGCAGAGATGCTGGACCTCGAGCAGAGTAAGAGCAGCAGAGCTGGTGAGAGTTGTGCACTGCAGCACCTGTAGGTGTGGTTTGAGGTACGGTGCAAGATGGCTCGCTGCTGGTTTTGCTAGGGGGAAGATGGTTGTTTTAGTAAGAACTACAAGTATAGGGAAGGGTGGGTTATCCTGCAGCTGCTTTTTCAGTTCAATTGCCCTGATAGGTTCTCTGGGTCTATTCGTTCAAGGTTGTTTTAGGTTGGCAGTTTAGATGTAGCGCTGGTTGCAGTCGTGACAAAATTGCACAGAAGGAGTCTCCAAAATTAAAATAAATGTGGCTATCAGAAGTAGAAGCTCAGGTTGCAGTGTAGCTGTTCGGGATGGATACGTGTCAGGTGACTGCCTGTTAAAGTCCAAACTTCACGTGCCAGCAGCCAAGCAAAGGAAGGAGAGGAATACTTAACTCTGAAAACAAGTTCCATGTACTTTGAAGAAACAGACATATCTGTGCACTTTAAAAAACCAACAAAGCCACATTGATTAAAACAGGATATAAATGATTTGCCTGTCTGTGCACAGAATGGTGTAAAATACAGTTCCAGCCCATCTGTGACCTGATGCCAGAATAAATCACTTAAACAGTGCTTGGAAGAAAATCTGTTAACACGTTGCTTTCATTTTCACTGTAACCAAGTGTTCAAGGCCAGGTTGGATGGGGCCCTGGGCAGCCTGGTCTGGCATTAAATGAGGAGGTTGGTGGCCCTGCGTGTGGCAGGGGGGTTGGAGATTCGTGATCCTTGAGGTGGATCCTTTCCAACCCTGGCCATTCTGTGATTCTGTGATTCCTGAGGGCACCTACAGAGCTCTGTAGGTGAGGGGCTGGAGGCACTGAGTGAAAGCTGCTGTGTGCAGGGTCAATTCCAAGCACAAGGAGCAGGCAGGTGTGGCAAGGTTTGCACATCACCGTATCACGTTCTGGTAAATCAAGTCTTTGAGTGAGATCAGTTTTATCAGCCACATCTGAGAGTGAAAAAACCATTTGCTTCTTGCATTAACTAATACTCAGTAGACTGCTGAAGTGACTGACTGTATCTCTGCTTGTCAGGTAGCAGATCTGGAAACAAAAAGTACATGGTCAGACTGCTGACTTACCTGCCGGGCACACCTGTCGCTAAAATTGCTGCCCCTACTCAGCTTCTGTATGATATTGGTAAGCTAGCTGCCAGTTTGGATAAAGCTCTCACAGAGGTGAGTGAGTTTTTGTTGTTCTAGCTTCGCAGATTTCATTCACATTTCATTTCTTCTCTCTGTTTCTTACTGTTCTCTGTCAGCTTTCCTGATTTTAAATCAGAAGTTGGTGATTTCAGAGCTTAATTCAACTTTTGGATACCACCCTCCATGCTGTAAAACTGGCTAAAACCTTGCCCCAAGTAACCTGACGAACCTGACCGCTCACTGCTTATGGCAGAGTGATCCTTTTGCAATGCATTTTTGTACCACAGTAAGGGAGACAGCTTTTATTTTTGCTCACACAGAACTCACCTGTTTGGCATTTGAAGCCTGGTAAATGAGGAGAGTGAACCCTCGCTGCCTGAATCAGAGCACACACAGCGTGGTTCCGAAGCTTTAAATGCTTGTGTTGGGTACTGCTGGCCCTTCTTTTCTTCTGAACTCATTTTGACTTGCTCTGTTCCTCCTGGCCATTGGAACAGTGACCTGCAGCAGCAGCAGTCATTTCCTTTTCTGTAATGCCAGCTGTGTTAATGGAGAGAGATGTGTGACACTTCTCTTAGTTCCACTGCTTTCAGTCAAATAACCTTAATGCATAGGAGATTATTTCTGTGCTCTGTAATTATACGGGATAATAAAACTGATAAATCATCCAGTAATTAAGTTTGATACATAAAAGAGTTCTTGCATTATTTATGGCCTTTCATTAACCTTTTCTTTTTGTGTTCTGGCTACCGCCTTCAGACAGTTATGAAATGTGAATTGCTAGCTTTACTTACCACATTCTGAAATTACAACGGTGTTTTTCCATTGGGAAAGATAATTTACTATTGCCTTTTAATAGTCTGGTCATGCTCTGATAATGTGATTAAAATAATTTATATGGGCCAGCTAGTCTCAAAAGATGCCTGTGACTTGTCCTGCAAGGATTTAGTAGACAAGAAAGCAAATTTTGATGGAAAAGGCTCTTAAGCCATTAATATATGGATTATCACGTACCAAGATTTGTCATCTAAGGGAGAGAATACTACAGTTATTACCATCTAAACTTCTCAATGTCATTGACACCAAAACTAAAGCTAAGGCATTACATTTTCTGATGGCAGATGGGAATGTACAGCCCGTCTTTTCTATCCTGTCAGTTTGCTTTGTCAGCTTGGCAGCAAGGCAATGTGCCATGCGTTCTTTTGTGCACAAAATATTGTTGCATCTCTTCCTTTTTCTGATGTCTTTTTTTGTTTGGATGCATCTCACATCTCCTAGTGGAAATAAACAGCTGTTGATGACTTGACAGCAACAAAGGCTCATGCAATTGTTGAGATCTCTGCTTTATTACCTTTCCCACATCTGGTATCCCCTTTATAGTTCTGTGCTGATTTGTGCAGGGAAAATTGCAGTGGTTGCTCACCAGATGGCATTCTACCTACCAACGTGGTCTTCTGTACAGCATTAGGGATCCTCTGTTGTGATTTTTGTTTTGGGCTTGGTGTCGTTCCTTACTTATACATGAGTTCCAGTTTTAACGATCATTTGGCTATCTTTAACTAACAGCCTTAATTCTAAACCGGAGTTTCTCTTTGAGAGGAGCCAACTGCTCATGGGAAGTGAGAAGCACACATGGGGCTGTTTGCTGGGGTCTCTGTGTACTGTATGGATGTTTGAGAGCCTGTACACATTTTTATAAGAACAAAACTCCATCCAGCAGTTCTGCCAAGCACTTCTGTTCTAATGATATTACACGTACCAGATGATTCTCAGGCTCAACTCTTTAAATGCTTGTGTGGCAGTTTTTGTCTCTTCTGCTCCAACAGCTTCCGTACCACCAGCTGCAGAATCCAGCTGTGTGACTGCAGCCTTGGCAAGACCTGTGTGCAGCAGCATCCCTGTCATGCTGCAGGAAGTCACCATTGATTTTAAGTGATTCGGTGATGAAGGGTTTAGGATAATCTATATTGGAAGAATGAAGAAAAAACATTCAGGTTTTATGAAGATATTGATAGGCTTGCCTATCTTACTGTTCACTGGAACAGGTTGCCCAAGGAGGTTGTGGATGCCCCATCCCTGGAGGCATTCAAGGCCAGGCTGGATGTGGCTTTGGGCAGCCTGGTCTGCTGGTTGGTGACTCTGCACATAGCAGAGGGGTTTGAAACCAGATGAACATTGTGGTCCTTTTCAACCCAGGCCACTCTATGACGAAATAATCCTTCAGATTCTACTTTTACTTGTGAAGCATGAATTTTAATTTATGGCCTATTTTGTTCTCTTTCTGCAGGAATTCCATCATCCATCAGTAGGAAGTCTGCATCGAGATCAGTTCATCTGGAACCTGGCGAATGTCCCTCTTCTGGATCAGTACATGGATGCCTTGGGCCAGAACGAGCACCGAGACGTTGTGCAATGGGTCATCCAGCAGTTCAAAGAGAAAGTCACACCCAAGATAAGCAGTTTTCGAGCTTGTGAGTGTTTTATTCTCAATCACATTGCAGTTTGTTCCAGGAAACAGACGCACCGACGCAGCTGGCTTACAGCTATTAAATACCATGGCAGTCAATACCAACACAATGCAGTTCTTAAATACCATTACAATCAATACCGATACAATGCAGTTCTTAAATACCGTTTCTTGTTCTGCATTTAGGTATCAACCACGGGGACCTCAACGACCACAACATCCTGGTGGTTCCTGGCTCCCCTCGTGGGGCAGCCCCGCAGTACCGCGTGTCGGGCGTGCTGGACTTCAGCGACATGAGCTACGGCCGCT